TATTTCATTCTATTTGTTTGTGTACAATCAAAATTTGAAAATGTTCTTGAGCTTGTGAATAACAATGAGTTCATTGAAGATAACATGCCCAAACAAAATTAATTCAAACTTGACATTACGACTAAAGGAGAAGTGTCTGAGAACTGAGACTGACCAATATGTTCTGCTAGTACATTAATTACACATTTACAGCTCACAATTTTACTGCTCCTTAGCTTAGTTACATTAGTTACATTAATCAGTTAGCATGAACTCATATCAGAACATAAGCAGCATCTTTAAGTTTAATAAAGCACTATCATACCTGTTCTTCTGAAACAAGACAGTGAAAAGAATAGAAAAAAAAAACACGATACCAAGTCAGCTAACTGTTTCTCTACATTAGTGTTGTAATTCTCGAGTCTGGTTTCGGTCTCAATGTCATTTGGGCTCTGTCTTGTCTCTGTCTGTCTTGCAGTAGGGCAATGCCTCCTTTTGAAAAAATTAGAAACTGAACATTTTTGCCATCATGATTGACATTACCGTATTAGTTAAACTGTGTTCCAATAGTAGCTCTAGGTTCAAACTGGCTTGTTAGACCCATGACCAGTGGGGTAATTTGGTTTCATCTCATGAGTGTTTTACATCAACAAGCCCACAGAAACATGCCAATGTCACATTTTGTGAGCATCAAAGTCATAAAGGACCAGGAAATCGTGTACCCTGCCCAGGAGAGGGTTACTGGGACCTACCAATGGGGCTAGGCCTGTGGGTAGTGTTCCTCGGCGAGCGCCTGGTGGTCAGGCAGCCCATGTAACCCAGCCGGGCTCAGCCCGAAAAGGTAACATGGGAGGCCCACCACCCGCAAGGTCCAGCATGGGGGACCGGTGGAGTGCCGTATAGGGAGTGGAAGATGCAGGGAGGCCCTTGGCAGCATGGACCCCTGCAGCGGAAACTGGCTCTTGGTATGTGGAAGGTAACCTTACTGGGGAGGAAGGAGCTGGAGCTTGTGCAGGAGGTTCCAACTAGATATACTTGGGTTCACCTCCACCCACAGAGTCGGCTCTGGAACCAAAGTCCTTGACAGGGGTTGGTCCCTCTCCTACTTAGGAGTTGCACAGGGTGAGAGGCGCCAGGCAGGTGTGGGGATACTCACGAGTCCCTGGTTGGCTGCTCTATAATTGGAGTTTGTCCTGGTGGACGAGAGGGTCGCCTCAATGAGAATTAAAATTGCAGGGAACAAAACTCTGACTGTTGCATGTGCTTACGCACCAAACAACAGTTTGGAGTATTTGGCCTTCTTGGAGTGAGTGGGTGGGGTTCTGGAAAGGGCCCCACCTATAGACTCCATAATCTTGCTGGGAGACTTCAAAGCTCATGTTGGTAATGACTGGGAGACCTGAAGAGAGATGACTGGTAAGAACAGCCTGCCTGATCTGGAATGGTGAATTGTTATTGGACGTCTGTGCATGGTTTGTGCATAATGAACACCAAGTCGAACACAAGGAAGTTCATAAGTGTACATGGTACTAGAGCTACTTGCGTCAAAGGTCAATGTCAATGTTTGTTGTCGTTTCATCTGACTTGGGACCATATGTTCTGGACACTCAGGTGAAGAGAGATGTCATCCGATCACCCTCTGGTGGTGAGTTGGATCAGATGGCAGGGAAGACTGATGGTCAGACCCAGTATGCCCAAGCGGATAGTGAAGGTTTGCTGGGAACAACTGTCAGAGGCCCCTGTTCAAAATGATTTTAACTCCCACTTCTGGGATAGCTTTTCTCATGTTCAAGAGGAGGTAGGGGACATGGAGTCCGAATGGACCCTGTTCAAAACCTCCATCGTGGAAGCTGCTGGGCATAGTAGTGGCCAAAAGCTTGTTGGTTCCTGTCAGGGTAGTAACCCAAGAACCCCCTGGTGGCCTTTAGGGACTTCAAGGCCCAGATGACTTCCCAACCCAGCACATAGACACCAACAGGCAAAAAAGGCAGCAGCGGCAATGGTGGCAGAGGCAAAATCCAGGGCATGGGAATAGTTTGGCGAGGCCAAAGAAAAGGACTTTTGGTCAGCTTTGAGAAGGTTTGGTTTCACCCAAGCTGTATTTGGCAGGGTGGAGAAACTCTGACTTCAAATGAGGATATTGTCAGTTGGTGGAGGGAGCACTTTGAGGAACTCCTTAATCCGAAGGACATGCCTCCCTTACAGGAGTCAGGCCCCGAGACATTTTTAATTTTTTTTGGGGGGATTTTAACCCAATTATCTCCCCAATTTAGTCATCGCCAATTCCACCCGCTAATAAGGACTCCCCCAATCACACGATACTATCAACAATAGAAGGGCGAAGGCTAACACAGGCTTCTGTGAAGCCAGCCACCGCTTCTTTTCGAACTGCCGTTCACGCAACGTCGTTGGACAGCTGAACGCGCTCGGAGGAAAGCGCCAACCACCAGATCTGTTACGTCAGCTAACAGACGTCTGCGCTGACTAGCATCGCATTAAATGATGGGGGGAGAAGGAGGGGCCATCCTACCCACCCAGAGAGAGCGAGGCCAATTGCGCTCTCTTGGACTCCTGGCTACGGATGGCTGTAGCATCACCAGGGATCGAACTTGCAATCTCCTGATGACAGGGCCAATGCTTAGACGGTTGCACCACTCGGGAGCCAGGCCCCGAGACTTCTGGCGTGTCAGCCTCCATTTTCCAGGTGGAGGTCACTAAGGTAGTTCGTAAGCTCCTCAGTGGTAAGGCACCAGGGGTGAATAAGATTTGCCCAGAAATGCTTTAGGCTCTGGATGTTGGGGGTGTGTGCCAACTTCCAGGGTATCCACTGCTCAGCCTCCCTGGGAAAGTTTATGCCAAGGTGCTGCAAAGGAGACTCTGACCGATAGTCAAATCTCAGATTGAGGAGGAAGAATGTGGATTCCATCCCGGTCACGGAACAATGGACCAGCTTGAGGGCGCATGGGAGTTTGCCAACCCAGTCTACATGTATATTGTGGACTTGGAGAAGGTTTACGACTGTGTTCTCCGATATATCTTGTGGGGGGTCCTCTGGGAGTATAGGGTGCAAGGACTACTGCTCTGGGCCATTCAATCTCTGTACTCCCGGAGTGAGAGTTGTGTTCGTACACTTGGCATTAAGTCAAGCTTGTTCAGAGTTAGTGTTGGACTCTAACTCTCCAAGATTGTGCCTTGTCCTCACTCTTGTTCATGATATTCATGGACAGGGTGTCAAGGCATAGCCGAGGTATGAAGGTATCTCGGGGTCTTTTTTACGAGGGATGGGAAGAGGGATCATAAGATTGGCTAGGACAGGCAGCAGCAGTAATGTGGTCACTGTACTGGGCTGCAGGGGTAAAGAGGGAGCTGAGCCATAAGGCAAAGCTCTCTGTTTACCAATCAGTCTACATCCCAATCTTCACTTATGGTCATGAGCTGTGGGTAATGACCGAAAAAATTTGATTGAGAATGCAAGTGGCAGAAATGAGCTTTCTTTGCAGGGAGGCAGGCTACACTCTACTTGATAGGGTGAGGAGCTTGGTCATCTGGGAGGAGCTCAGAGTAGAGCCACTGCTCCTCCGCATTGAGAGGAGCCAGTTGAGGTGTTTACCAGGCACGGCCTGCTGGGACAAGACCCCGGGGTAGTCCTAGGACCCGCTGGAGGGATTATATCTCTAAGTTGGCCTAGGAGCAGCTTGGGGTCCCTTGTAATGAGCTGGAGGAAGTTGTGGCGGACAGGGTCTGGGATTCTCTGCTCTCCCAACTGCTACCGTGACCCTATCTGGACTAAGTAGTTAATGACGATGATGCAGATGATGATGATCATATAGGGTCATATAACTCTATAAATTATAAACTTGTGTAAATAATACTTTTTTATTATTTGTGTGTTTATTTTATTTTTAATTTATTGAGGGAAGATGAAAGCTTTAGACTCATCATGTGTCACGCATCCATCGAGCTCTAAAACTAATCTGCACTCTATCTCCCAGAATTCTCTGGGAGATCACCTGATTTCTGAACTTCCTTTGCGCTCCAATCAGCGCTCTTGATCTCCAGAGTACTGATGCTATTCACCTGCATTATTTGTCATATGACCTCCTTAGTTTAGTTTATAGACCCGGGCTTTAGCCACAGTTAGTTGCAAGGTGTTATATCAATTGTGATCTACTGAGCGTTCTCTGCCTTTTGCCTTACCCTTTGGATTGATTGCCTGTCTCATTGGATACCTGTTTTTGACCTGATTGCTTTTTTGCCTAACCCTTTTGGACTGTTCGCCCTGTGTTATGATCGTCTGTTTGTATTTGCTTTACCTTTTGGATTTGACCCCTGCCTGTTTTGTGACTATGAACCTGAACAGTAAAGCCTCATTTGTGTTTTCTGACCGCGAGCATCTGACTCTTGTTGGCACATTACATCATGAGTTTATTTCTGAATTATAAAATTTTATTTAAAAATGTCCCATTTTAGACTTTTATGCATATTATGTGGGACTTCCCAAAAGTTTATGCTTTTTGGGAGGGGGTTGTTGATCACATCTATTCTCTAACCAAGACATACTTCCCCATGGACCCTGAACTTCATTTACTGAATGATAAATGATAAAGTTCCCCATTACGGAAATTTCCCGGAAAATATGGCTGGCTGGCTGGCTTGACGGCGGCGAAAAAAGTCATTGTCCACCACTGGCTACCCCCTCACAACCTGTCCATATATCATTGGCTCCATACCTTACTGGATATCCTATATCTGGAACTGTCATATGCAAGAATTAGCAATGCTGGCACTAGAACTCTTTAATACATGGATTTACAGAATTTCTAAAATCAGGACCCTTGTGCTTGCTTAATTATACGCTGTGTTTAAGTTGTGAACGATGTAACTGAATTCTCATGTGTCCTATGTTGTAGCTATGTGTTTTTTGTTGTTGTTTGTTTTTTGTTTTTGTTTTTTTCTCTTCTGTAAGTCCTATGTGTGTGTGGGTCAGGGCTCGAATGGGGGGGTTGTTGTTCTTTAAGTGGAAAATAAAAAATAAATCACAAAAAAAAAAGTCCCATTTTAGCCACACTACTGCATTTTAGATCAGGAAGTGAGATCCTTGTCCCATGGTGTCACACATCCCTCCGGCTCTGAGGCACACTCTGACTCCATCTCCCAGAATCCTGACCTTCCCTTGCGCTCCAATCAGCGCAAACTCTGTTAACCTGTCTTGTTTGTCACATGACCATAGTAGTTTAGTTTATAAACCTGGGCTTTAGCATAATCTATTGCAAGGTATTGCGTCTATCCAGATCTTCTGAGAGTTCTATTGTGTTTGTTATTCCTGTTTATGACCGTTTTGCCTGTTTATTCGACTCTGCCTTTTACCTGACTCTTTTGGATTGTTTATCTTCTGTGATGTTTATATTTTTGTGCTGGCTGTCTTTTCAGGATTTGACCCATGCCTGTTTTTTGACCACAAACCTGGATTTTGATTCTATCAGTAAAGCCTCCTTTTCTCCTTTTAACCGCGACCATCTGAATCTTTCTGGTACTTTACACATGGTGCCACATGGTAAGCAGTTATATGTTATTGTGTTGAAGTAAAAGTGTCTCAAATTCTGAAAATCAGTGTGTAACATTAAGAATTGTCATGTTTCATGTATTGAAACACTTTTATGCAATGAAGTGAACTTTTTTCTGTTTTAATGAAAAATATTATGATTGTACATGTGTACAACTGTTCAAAGCTGTGTTTGCTTGTCATGTACTGGCTAGCATTTTCAGTTATGCCCAAAACAAGCCAGAATTGTCACTACAGACATAGTCACTTCCAAAACATTTCGTATAGTTTTGGTAGTGTTCAGATTTGTTTATGACAAAATGGAATGTTCAGTCATTTGTTTTAATAAAATAAACATAAAGGTGTAGGGTTACTCAAAGCAAAGGGGTTTAGTCTGAAGTCCAAGTCAGTTAAAAGCCTGAAACTCTGACTTTGAACCAGTTCAGTGGAATGATCCCTATAGACCAACAACAACAGTAAGAGTGAAGGGTTTTGTTTCAGGTTACATGGTATGATTCTTCTTAGGCAATTATTACTGATAATCTAACATATTACTGCCAGACAATCAGATTGAAAGCATAAATGTTAAGCATTGCGGCTAACTGCACACAGTTTGTGGGGGGAGGGGCTCAGTGTGAAGCCTACAGCTGGTGTGAGGTCCAGCTGATCCTCAGACACGCCTGGTGGAGGAGTGAAACGGAAGTGTTTCAGGAAGGAGGTGAAGAATAGGAAGAGCTCCATTCTGGCCAGACTCTCTCCCACGCAGACTCTGCGGCCTGAAAGCAGAAATGGAAAGTTAAAATTATGGCACAATTTCTTTGAACACTAGATACATCACAAAAGGATTTCAAAATACCTGCAGAAAATGGCATGAAGGCATCTCTCTTAACAAATCGTCCCTGCTTGTCAAGGAAGTGTGCTGGGTTGAAGGTGTTGGGGACCTCCCACTCATTCTCATCTCTCAACACAGATGTCAACAGTGGAAGCACAGAAGTTCCCTGTAGAGAACTTTTATAGTGACAGATTTCCATGACAAGCCAACTGCGTATAACCATGTTTCAATTCACAGCTTTTAGCTGTGAGTTATACACCGTATTACAAACTGCATATGTTTTGCCATGTGTTTCGCTGTATTTAATTTAGATCTGTTTCTAATTAACCTCATAGGCTGACCTTCTTAATGAAGAAGCCCTGAAAGTGAACATCGCAACTGGTGGTGTGAGGTACACTCATGGGCACTATGTTGGCCAGTCTCTGGATTTCATGGATTACTGCATCAGTGTAAGGCAAGTTCTTCCTGTCCTCCATCACTGGCTGACGATCTCCAACCACCCTGTCAATCTCTTCCTGGACTCGATCTGGAGCCGAGAAAAACTTGAGTCTCATTATTAACATGAAAACAGAAGCACACAAGACTTTTAGTATTCATAAACAAAACCAAGAAATCTTTACTAAAACAATAAATAATCATGGCATTTTGGTACTATAAAATTTCTGCATGTGTCACTGTCTTTAAACACTTTCAGTTTCAGTATTCCTCATTCATACCTTGCACATGAGGGTATTTGGCCATTAGTAGAAGGCTCCAGCGCAGAGTTGCGGCAGTTGTGTCAGTACCAGCACCAAAGAGGTTGGCAACTGTGTAAAGTAGGTTTTGTTTATGAAACAGAGTGTTCTTCTCTCCAGATTCCTAACCAGTGAAACAGAATGGAGCATCAGCCAAACACAAATGAGCTGTGCATGGGGCTCATCTCATGATGGTTCACAGATCTCAGGCTTACAGATTTGGTGTTAAATTTTAGTTACCATCCCTGACATTCAGTCAAGTAGTAAACAGTGTGTCTGCATGTCAATCAGGTAGTCTGAGGCAGAGTTTTTTACCAAACTCTAACCATTTTACTATTTTATGAATGATTTGCCAATCCTTCACAAACATTAACAGCCTACAAGGCTTTTGTCCTAAAAATGTTCTTAAATTGTCCTTAAATATCTTTAAAATGATGCTTGCTTTGCTTTTGTTCTGGGATGCAGCATTAATCTTCTTTTTGTCTTTTTAGGTGTTTCCCAGTGTTTTTATTTCCTTTACTTAAAACGTGTTCCTTCTATGTTTACACTGAAGATCAGATGAGATAACCCCTAAAAATAGCATATCACTCATCAAAATATAATTTTTTATGCCAAGAGCACACAATATAATGGATATAAAGTAACTGCACAAACAAAGTCTTCATTCTGCAAATTCAACATTTCTGTAGACAGCACAAGAAAGACATACCTCTGCATTTTGTTTGCGTACAAGAAAACAATCCACCAGGCCTCTGCAGTCCAGAGGGTTCAGTGTTTGCTGTAGACGGTCCACTAGCCCATTTATCTGTTTGATACAGTTCTCGCGGTTTTTCAGAATGAGTTTTCTGTTCTTTATCCAAGAACGAAGCCAGGGAAACATGTTGTACAACTATAGGTACACACAGGTACATACATTAACAATCTTGTGTCAACTGATTATATATTTTTGCACCTTTAAATAAGATGTACATACACTAATTCATAATCAAGGCTGTAATCTAAACATCATAGTGGTCATAATGAGAGTTTCCTGTTTAGATGCAGAAGGTACCTGTATAGAAGCTGAGCCAATAAGTCTGACATTCTCGTTGCTCTTCGTTACCATATCTTTGAACAGAGGATCACTGTATTCAAACCTGCTTCCATACGCAATGGATGAGATGATATTTGAAACAGCATAATTCACTGGCTGTGTGGTATCAAACGGTTTTCCTGTAAGGCAGTAAGCAGTGATTAATTTTTTGATGATTTATACACATTTCCTGAAGTGTACATTCTCGAATCCCTGGGCATTTTTTAGAATAGTGCACCCATTTACCTATGGCAGACATTGCATTTAGAGATGGCCACGAAAAAAGAATGAATGATTCTGTAACAAATGTAACCTAAAATAGCTCAGAATTGTAGCAACAGAACAAGTTTACAGGGAACCTAGTTACTCCCTACTCATCCCATTATAATTAAAAAAAAAATAGTCTCAGGGCTAGTTGTGATCTCGTAACAAGAACATCTAGGGACAACCATTAGAAATTTTGGCCTAAATATGGGAGGGAACGGAGACTTATTAGGGTGGATCAATCCAACAATTCAGGCCATTGCAACACATGAAGGTGGTGCTTAGTAGGGGGCAAGGTGTGCTTTCTGACAACTTTCTGACATTAGTCCATGGCTATAACTGTCCATGGCTATAATGTTTTTCTGAGAATCACGACTTTAAAGCCTAACTGATTATTACTGGAGGCCCCTGTTAGCTATCTGTCAAGCTGGTTTCAGGCATTTTACTTCATATACATGTAAAATTCCTGATAGCAGGGATATTGATCCTATATTTGTTTTTCATCTGAATCATCATTTTGTTTGAGATTGAAATTTCAATGTCAGAACAAAAGTTCTTTTTTCCTCATGTTGGCAAAAATGTCATTGAATACACATTGATAAAAGTAGCCAGAGATGAAAGTAGCCCATTCTTCATGTTTTGGAAAAAAAAGAAATAAAAAAGAAAACCATCCTTAGCGTAAGGCATTTTGCACAACAGCTGCTTAAGCTGCTTAAAGCAGAAAGCTTTTACTTCTTGTTTTTATTTTTCAGAACCCCAGAGGAAAAAGCAGATCTCCTGAAGTAAGTCAGTCAATTGCTGTTTAAAAACTCCTGATAGTTTTAATATGTCTAATTTTTCACTATTAATAAGTTTTTGAAAAGCTTTTTTGTTGTTAGCTTGTTATCTGGTAAAGCTGAATAAAGATTTATCTGAAACTATTTGAAAACTTTGCGTTTTCTTAATAGACAAAAAAGCTAAAGTTTGCTTCATTTGACTTTATAAGAAATGATTTTTGCTGTAGATGAAGCAGAATGGCTTTGATAATGTTTTATTGAAGTAATAGAAATATTAAAAGGTTACATTGTGTTAAACTTTTGTTAAACTTTCAGTGTTGTTGCAATATTATTCAAGGTGCAAACGTGATTAAAAATCAAAATCAGATTGGAATGTTGATTCAGTTAAGTTCTTAGGAGCTTTCACAAGAATAAATTTAAGTAAAAATTTAAGAAGATATTTGTGAATGAGGTCCAATGTACACATACACGTTATCCTGCTGAAAGAGGCCACTGCCATAAGAAATCTTTTTGAGATAAGATGAGAGACATGAGATGTAGTAATAAGTGCACTGTCCATCACTCTGCAATGTCTGGCCAGAGCTTCACAAAGCACTAATAAATATCATTCCACACCACCGCCATGAAGTCCACAACAATGGTCACATAGATGGCACCTGTCAAATTGACGTCCACATGAATGAGCTCAACATTCCCTTTACTGGCTTGTTTTCCTCCCACAGTGCATCCTGGTGCCTTCACTTCCCCAAGCAAAGAGTACAAATGTACCTGTTCGTCCATGTGATGTAAAAGAAAACAAGACTTTTTGGACCAGGCGGCATTCTTCCATTGCTTCAAAGTCCAGTTCTGATGCAGGTTAGCATAGACACTCAGACTGTTCTGCAACTATGCAGCCCCATACACAGCAAACGCAATACACTGTATGTTGTGACACATTCCCTCTGTAACCATCATTAAAAATTTCTGTGCCACAGTAGACTTTCCATTAATTCAGACTGACAGACGTTGTCGCTGGTTAGTGGTTTGTGCCTCCTTGGACCACTGTGAGTAGGTTCTTACCTCTGCTGATCAGGAGCACCCCATAAGCCTTGCTGTTTCACAGATATCCCAACCCAGTCAATTTATCATTTGTCAGTGTCACTCAAGTCTTAACACCTGTCCATTTCTCTTGTATCCAACGTCTACTACAAGAAATAACTGTTCCCTTACCATTTAATATATCCCAGATTTTGACTTGTGCTGTTTTTATGAGATAGTCAATGCAATTCTCTTTATCTGTGAGGGGTCTCAGTGTTTTCGCTGATTGGTGAATGGGAATGCAAACATTTACACCTGTTTTACTTTGAATGCTCAGTCAAAAACTTTCAAATTTAAAAATCACAAGATAATATGCATTTTATTTCGTTTTTATTTGAATAAACTCAAACTCAAATATTCAGTAGAATAATTTGGCATAAATTTCTGTTAATTGCAAGTTATATGTAGGATGTAGCTTTGTGTACAAAATAAATATTTGTTAATAACTCTAAAATTTGACATAAATTTACCTTTAAACTGCTCAAACACGTCTCTCAAGTAACACGTCTCTTCTATGATTTTCTCTTCACTGCCTTTTTTGCCCATACCAAAGTCGCGAAGGGCAGAGAGAGAAAAGCGTCTCATCTCTTTCCAGTTCTCCCCATTGGAAAACAGAATTCCTGCAGTTGAGCAGAAAACAGAAAAATATCTAGCAGCTCTGTAAATCTCAGCTTACTAGTGAAAGAAAGATAAAGCACTTTTTTATAATAAAATTTAGGATCGAATGTTGACTTATGTCTACAGATATGCATTATGCACAAGGATTGAGCAAAATAATAGAAGCACCCAAATGGTTCAAATTTTGAAAAGTTTTTCTTTTTTATTTTTTAATTTTGAAATAATTATAAAAGACAAATGTGCTTACTTCTTATTCACTTCTATATCAACAATGTTTTATAAACTGTAAATGACATGCTATTGAACTGTAATTGCACTGGCTTCAAAAAGATATTTATAACACAGTAGACTTACCATATCCTTGGCTGTACTCAGTGAATATAGGAGTGATGTCTCTGTCTCCAAATTCCTCTGCATGATTCACCAGGGCTTGCTTGACAGTTTGATATCCTGCCAAAACAACCACTTTCTTCGGACCAAAATACACAGTAAATATGGATCCATATTGTTTTGACATCTGCAAACAGTAACAGCAAGTAGGAAAAAGTCTGTATTAAATATAGAGTTCGTGCAAAGATAGCATTTATGCTGAAATGCAGGATCCACTTGTCCAGTAGCCAATTCTACTAATAAAATACAACCACTTAGTTTGATTCCCAGATGTCATCCCTTTCTGTAACCACCTAAAGCAAAACATTTTAAATACTGCAGGGTAACAAATTACCCTGCAGAAATTTTATAGTTTTGAAATATGCTCATTTTGGATTTGATGGCAGCAACACATTTCAAAACAGTTGGGACATCTGTTTGGGCAACAAAAGACTGGTAGTTCTTTTATGCTAAAAACACCTGGTGGCTAAGTAGATTAATTGGCAACAGGTTAGTACCATGACTTCTGTGAGCAAATCCTTCATTTCTAATGAAGTTCAACCTGCTTGGCTGTGTCGTGGAGAGGCATCCTCAGGTGGACTTTGCCATTGTCATAGCTAGTCGTAGCTCCCCTGAAAAAAACACCTTTCTTCACCATACATCAGAAATATGACGTATGGTGGGGAAAAAGTTGATATTCCTACCACAGCTATAAATACCCTGTTATTTGGTTGCAATGGGGAGCTTGCTCAAAGAGTTGCCATCATTCTAAGCAGTGTCACATGACTCCTTGTTTTGCAATGGTTTGTGGGATTCCATTGTGGTCACTGTGTAATCACAATAAAGTGGTTGAAAAGGTTTCCAGTCATTATCTGTTTTATTTTTGTGCAAAACTGACTATTTTTTTTTGCTGTCATTTAATGCTAGCTAGGTAGCCAACATGGGTGAGCTTCTATTAACAATGATTTGTTTTTAACTTTACAGCAGGAACATTTACTAAAAGAAACATGTAAGACTCTTGGTAACATTTAGTAACAAGTAAGACTCTTGGTTAAATTAATATGCGACTGAACGCTGCAGCTTTCTGACTCCCATTCTAAATCCATAGGCATTAATATGGAGCTGGTCCCCTCTTTGCAGCTATAACAGCTTCCACTCTTCTGTGATGTTTTCTACAATATTTTGGAGTGTGTTTTAGGAATTTTTGCCCATTCATCCAGAAGAGCATTTGTGAGGTCAGACACTGATGTTGGACAAGAGGGTCTGGCTCGCAATCTGTTCTAGTTCATCTTAAAGGTGTTTGATGGGGTTGAGGTCAGTGCTCTGTGCGGGCCAGTCAAGTTCTTCCACACCAAACTCACCCAGCCATGCCTTTATGAACCTTGCTTTGTGTGCTGTGGCACAGTCATGCTGGAACAGAAAAGAACCCTCCCCAAACTCTTCCCACAAAGTTGAAAGCATACAATTGTCCAAAATGTTTTGGTCTGCTGAAGCATTAAGTTTCCCTTCACTGGAACTAGGGGCCTAGGCCAAGCCCTGAAAAACAACCCAACTGTACACTTGGCACAATGCAGTCAGGCAGGAAACATTCTCCTTGCATTCACCAAACCCAGACTCGTCCATCAGACTGCCAGATAGAGAAGCGTAATTTATCACTCCACAGACCACGTTTCCACTGCTCTAGAGTCCAGCAGCAGTGTACTTTACACCACTCCATCCAACGGTTGGCATTGTGCTTGGTGATGTAAGGCTTGCATTCTGTTGCTCAGCCATGGAAACTCATGCCATGAAGCTCCTGGTACACAGTTTTGCCAGAGGAGGTTTGGAACTCTTTTATGAGTGACTTTTATGCATTATGCAATATTTAGCTGCACAGAAGAAAAACAGGAAGTAGTACTCAGGAGCACATTTTCCTTCGTGGACTGAGCATCTCAGTATTGCAGTCCTCTTAATCCTTTGCCTTGAAATCCACAAAAAGGCTTCATCTATAAGTGTCACACTGTTTATAATTATATTAATGTGTTTATGTTGATATTTCTTGGGTTGAGTACAGAATTTATGATAATGGTTAGTTTACTGTCAGCTACATGTAGATGTGTTAGTGATTGGTGGTTAAAGCATTGGTGTTTGTTTAAATGATACTGATGTATTTTCATCTTTCATTACTTACACTGAAATACCTACCTTTAAGCACTTGTTCAAATTGTTTTTTCAGTAATCCTGTCTATACAAATGTACAAGAGATATTATTTAGTACTTACACAGGTACTTATCAATTTGTATTTTGTGTTCTTTTTGCAGTTTTACAAATGACATATTTTCCTACATTAAATCCTACCAAACACAACAACTTGTCTGTTCCTTGGAGGATGCGTGGCTGAAGAATATAATGTTAAGCTAGCTGTATAGCTGAAAATAGGTTGCCTGCAACAAGTTTTAGCGAGGACAGCATAATGCGCCTCAGAACTTGGCGACCCTGCTCTGTAACTGTTTCCACTTTTCAAGGATACTACTCACACTAGATTATGGAATATCTAGGATGGAAGAAATTTCACAAACTGATTTGGTGCGGTGGTGGTATCCCATTACAGTACCACACTCGAATTCAGTGAGCTCTTTAGAATGAGTCATTCTGTAACAAATGTTTGCAAAGGCAGACTGCATGGCTAGGTGCTTGATTTTATACAGTATTGTGTCCCAATATATATACATGTAATATATACACGTCCCAATGTATACATGTAATCCCACAATAACCCTGTTGCTTGATTAGTTTTGAAGTGTTTTTAAACAGCTAAGTAGAACTTTTTTTAAATCATTACTTTTAGTCAGCTCTTGACTTCTACTTAATGCAGTGATAAACCTGAGTATTTAAAGGTTAAAAAGCCAGATAACTCTGCTGTATTATGTATACTCAGGAGAGTATCTTCATCATCAGCCAGAGACAATCACGTGGTAAAGGATGTCATCGCTGATAACAAAAACTATTTATTTGATAACTTAAGATTCAAAACGGCATAAACACAGCACATTTGGTGTGATTTGGATGTTGGTGGGGAGCTGAGTGGTGTCACAAAAAAAAAAAAGAGATTCCTTAGCCTATAATTTGATAAATACAACAGTACAAACGTTTCTTTTAATGGCTCAAACCAGAACAAACACAGCACAAGAGAAAAGTGAGGATATAAAGAAGGAAAAATATATGAAGAAACAACAAAGTTTAAAGAACTTTTAGGAAACAATCCTGGGCACCCCTCCATTTAGTGTGATCATTTAGTGGGATCTGTGACTGTATCATCAAACAGAATCTAGATTCTCTGTTCTCTTCAGCTCACCCCACAGTTTTAGAACATTGGACTGTGGTGGCGATTCTAATGATAGAATTTTAATTTTGTCTTTTGAGAATGTTGTCATTAGAGAACTCTACTAATTTTCAAATGTGCATAGGTTTGGTGTTTGTCTTGTCTGAGCATGTCAGAGGGTCACTGCTAATGTGTGCAGGCTTTATGCAGCACACAGTTCCAATAACAAATCTGGGCAACTCACTCAGATTAATGTTCTACTCTTTTTACATAACAAAGCAGTGAATCACTCCACCTGTTTTGCTTTCTTTGCTTGTAGTTTGCTTTGGTCTTTTGACTTTTTTTGTTTTATTTTAACTAATAATAGGCCTGTTGTTTATAGGACAGTGTTGATAAGAGGAACATTACCTCTTACATTAAGCACTTAGATTGGTCTAGAAATTTCACACCCTGATTAGCCCAAAATGTGTCCTCTTTTGCTGCAGTAAAAGCATGTACTCTTCTGGGAAGGCTTTACATGAAACATTGTAACATTACTGTGTGAATTTGATTGCTTTGTCTGGTTACTTTTATACCTATAGTATATGCATTCTCTGCTTTTTCATCAATACATTTGAATTTTGTACTTAAATCTGCTTTTTATGTTTAAATTTATCTTTTAATAGATTGCAATTACATGTCTGACCACAAAGGCACTATAGCATCATAGGTCAGTTGCTTCAGCAAGTTGTTTAGAAATATACATACTTAAAGTAAACCCAATAAACAAGACACTCACAGAAAAGAGACTGATATAGGGTCTCTTGAGGTCAAGATGTAGTAAGTTTCCCAGGATAGGTAATGGCTTGGGCCCTGGAGGTTCCTTCCCTTTTCCCTGAGAGTTGGAGCGAGAGGCGCGAAGGTAAGCAATTGGAAGAAGGATCAACACAGCACCAAACAATATGCTTCTGCTCGTAGGTTGTAGAAGAAGCTCTTCCACCAAAGCCATTGCTAAAAAGGTAACTTATTAAAAAAAAATAAACGATATATGAGTTTTATGCAAAATGTAGAGAAGAATGTACTACTCAGGTAGCAAGTGGTATTTGAGTGTAAAGGCCTGAAATGGCCTTAAAATAAGTTGTCAGGGACTAGTCAGGCACCAGGGGTGGAGCTATGTTCAAAACTAGAGCGACAGGAAAAGTTTATGCCACCTGCTGACAGTTTGCATGGAGAATTTTTAACAATGTTTCAACAGAAGGTGTCATTGCAGTGTCCAGTCACTGGGGTCAGTACAACAAACAGGCTGACAACTGTAAAATGGATCAAAGTGTTCTGTTCCAAAGTGAAAATCAGGTCAAAGAGTATTCTCCGAGCTAAAGAACATTGAGTGTTCTCACACTCATGGCACTGTTACACATGCTATGCACTGTTATACCTACTTTATTCAGAGTGTCTAATGTATTTTTTCCAATTGTATGAAATCCACTTTTGTTTAAAAAATGTGGTATTAACACAACATTAATAAAAAACACATTTAGCAAAGTGAAACATTTGTAGACTGTATTCACACAATTTATGGATAAAGCACATCTGTCTTGCAAATACAGCAACGTAACAAAAAAATGAGTATGCAAATCAGGCCTGGAGTTAGTAAGCTGCTTGGCATGTTCACATGTTTATGTGTTGTATGGCACATGGCATGGTGTTTATTGGTTTGTAATGGTTTCTGCTTGCGAGCTAATAAAGAGCACTGCACGTTTTCCAATAATGCTTCCTGGTCTCATCTGTTCTTTAGAGTTGGAGTTGGTTAACAGCAAGTGGTCTGCTCTGCAGCTTGTTGCTGTCCCGGTGACTGACTTTGCTCCTTGCTGTGCCGGTGACTGACTTTGCTCCTTGCAAAAGTTGGCATGTTAAATAGTTTTGCAAGCCAAAGTTAATCAATGGCAGAAAGTCTGGTACCTTTCACTGCATAATGTGCACATGGACCACCTGCCTTTTTGGAAAGAAGCTGTTTCACTGACATCCAAAATGACCAATCGCAGCCTGCTGTATCGGAGCAGAGTGTAGGGCAAGATGATTGAAAATCCTATGCATGTATCTTGCTCTGAAAGGCTCATTTTTCATCATAATGTCTAGTGCAGACAGCTGTTTGCTACTGCTGACTAGAATTTAGCTGAATGATAAAAAATGCTGCATGGGGGTGTGTATACATGGACGTACTGATAGCCAGTCAAAATGCAGACAGAATTTTGATAATTGTGGCCAGCTCTGTATGCAAAACATGTCAGATGCTCTGCTTACTTGTGAGCAATGGTTGAGAATTAAACATTAAGTTAATGTTTACAGGTGTGTATTTAGTACACAATCTATGAGCTGGTGAAAGATTGAACGCTATTAAAAGGCTACTGCCACCTGTTGCTTTGGCACTGGATGGGCAAGCAATACAGATTTAAGGAAAAATAAAAGCTGTATGTGAACGGGAAAGAGAATACTATGAAATACAAGTAGACACTATTAATATTATTCTATGTGCTCGAACCTGTAGATAAAAAGCAAAGTCACTTTTTCTGTTTTTTGGCCTAGATAAGCATCTCTATATTAGCAAATCAGCACATTACCAAAAATTGTCAAAACAATAACAAGAATTAGAATCAAAATAAAGTCCACTGAATTTACAGTTTTTTTTTCTGGCATAATTATTTAAACCATACAGCATACACGTCAAAACACAATATTTAATCACAAAGTAATAAATCAGCAGCTATAGAATGAGCACTAGCATATGCAGAACAATAGCAAGAGTGACAAGTTCCATTTTAGGATACGTATGTTTCATTTCAGGCAGTTCATTGTACAACCCCATTTCCAAACAAGTTGGGGCACTGTGCAGAATGTAAATAAAAATAGGATGCAATGATGTGCAAATCATGTGAACCATATTTTTAAAGTAAATAGTACAAAGACAACATATCAAATGTTGAAAGTGAGGAATTTTATTGTTTTTTGACAAATATATGCCCATTTTTAATTTGATGCCAACAACACATTCCCAAAAAGTTAGGACGGGGGCATGTTTACCACTGTGTTTCATCACCTTTTCTTTTAACAACACTGTGTAAGTTTTGGGAGCTGTAGAGACCAACTGCTATAGTTTTGAAAGTGAAAGTTTTCTCATTCTTGTTTGATATAGGATTTCAACAGTTTGGGGTCTCCTTTGTTGTATTTTTTATTTCATAATGCAGCAAATGTTTCAGTGGGTGACAGGTCTGGACTGCAAGCAGGTCAGTTTAGCACCCAGGCTCTTTTAATATGGAGCAATGCTGTCGTAATACATGCAGAATGCGGTTTGACATTGTCTTGCTGAAATAAGCTAGACCTTCCCTGAAAAAGACGTTGTCTGGACGGCAGCATATATTGTCAAAACATGTATATATCGTTCAGCATTAATGGTGCATTCACAGATGTGCACATCACCCATGACATGTGCACTAATGTTTTTTGGTCTTGTCCCTTGCATACAGAGATTTCTCCAGATTCTCTGAACCTTTTAATGTTATTATGTATCGTAGATGATGAAAAGCAAAAGTCCTTTGCTATTTTATGTTGAGAAACGTTATTCTTGAATTGCTGCACATTTTGCTCATGCAGTCTTTCACAGAATGGTGAACTCCTCCTCATCTTTACTTCTGAAAGACTCAGCCTCTCTGGGATGCTCTTTTTATACCCAGTCATGTTACTGACCTGTTGACAATCAACCACTGGGTGTTTTTATTAGCATTACACAACTTTACCAGCCCTTTGTTGCCCCGTTCCAACTTTTTTGGAATGTGTTGTTGGCATTAAATTAAAAATGGGCATATATTTTTCAAAATACAATAAAATTTCTCAGTTTCAACATTTGACATGTTGTCCTTGCACTATTTTCAATGAAATATAGGGTTTAAATGATTTGCACATCATTGCCTTTTTATTTTTATTTACATTTTGTGTCCCAACTTGTTTGGAAAAAATGGGGTTGTACTTGAAAGAGAAAGATCTCCATCCTGACCAGACTCTCTCCCACACAGACCATGCACCCTGAAAGCAGAAACATATATTTTATTGAGTGAAAATTACACTTTGATTTCTTTGAACGCAAAATGGATCACAGTAACACTCCAAAAGCAATTCAAAATACTGCAGAAACTGGCATGAAGGCTTCTCTATTAACAAATCATCTCTGCTCATCAAGGAGGTGTTCTGGGTTGAAGGTGTTGGGGGTCTCCCATTCATTCTCAACACAGATGCCAACAGTGGAAACAGGTTCCCTGTAGAGAATTAGAAATTTTATAAATGACCATAGAAATCTTCTCCGTAGATTTCAATCCATAGTCATCGTCTAATTAATCTTTAGTAGTTTCAGACCTTTTTGAATTGCAAACACATAGTAAAAATGTTTTTATGCCATTCTATTAGATCAGGATTTCTCAACCTATGGGCTGCGGACCACCGGTGGGCCATGAAGCACCCTCTTTTTGGTCTGTGGACCTGTACTCAGGGGGAGGCAGTAGTTCGTAGTGGGCCAGTAACATCACTTTAAGTCATAAAAACATGTGGAAAAAGATTAACTTAGGCCTAATAATTAAAAATCAAAAAATCAGACATATCCAAATTATAACCAATATCAATATTAACAAAGACATATAAATGAAAGTAACCGCAGTCACAGGCTAATAAAATGTCATAAGTTTGATGTAATGCTGTCGCGGGCACACAGTGCAGACAGTTAGTCAGAGATGGAGAGGTTTCTCAGAGCGCTTTCTCCTACTTTATTTGATGCGGACATATCAAACTTCTTTAGTTTCCTCTGTTTTGACATGTTTGTTAATGTTACACCCATATGCATCAAACAGCTGAACCAGACCGGCAAAAACTGGTCCATTTTATGTTCAGTTCACTGCTGGTGTGAACGCATTTTATGAAGAAACAAGGTAATTCATCTGTAGAGCCTACTTTCTTTTTCTAGCAGCACATCAGTGCTGTACTGTCAGCATAATCTGCATGTTTTAATGTCTGACTCTTTACAGACTCTCATTGCTCTCGCTTCTGCAGATGGAGCTGCAGCTGAAAAAAAGAACAGACAAGCTATAAAATAATAGCGAAGAGATGTGTTTGATTTCTGCGAATAATAGCAAAGAGATGTTTGATTTCTGGGAAAGCATCAGTGACCTGAGTAGAGTAAACTCAAATTGATAAACTGATGACAAATAAGTACATATAAAGTAAGGTATATTGTTATTGTTGAATGTGGCAACACTAATCCAAAAGCCCACTGATTGGAGTGAGGTTTATTTCAAATGAGGCCATAAAACCATCAAAACTAAAGAGACATTTCCAGACCAAATGGTTTTCATGTAATGTTTTTAACAGTAATTTAAATTTTGGCTTCTGTGATTGAACTAAAATGGGTGATCTGATTTCTTTCAGGCCCTAATTCACAGGTTTTCAGTGTGAGCAATTAAGGAGAAAAAGCTATAAACAAGAAACTTGATTTTAGTTTTCCTGTAGGCTGCTATGCTTTATATTTATAAACAAGTGGACCTTGGGGTGGAAAAGATTGAGAACCCCTGTTTTAGATATTTGTCTCATCAATCTCATAGACTGACCTTCTTGATGAAGAAGCTCTCATGGGTGCTATGTTGGCCACTCTCTGTGCTTCATGGATCACTGCATCAGTGTAATGCAAGTTCTTCCTGTTCTCCATCACTGGCTAGTGACCTCTAACGTGTCAGTCTCCTCCTGGACTTAATCTGGAGTATTTTTGTGTTTTTTGGAGTATTTTTCCTTCATAATCTTGGGGTACTTGGCCATTAGCAGAAGGCACCAGTGCAGGGTTGTGGCTGTTGTGTCAGTGCAAGAAACAAAGAGGTTGGCAACCATGTAGGTTTTGTTTATTGAACAGAATGTTCTTCTCTCCAGATTTCTGACCAATAAAACAGAAATGCGGTTTGTGAGAAAAGGCACAAGCAAATGACCTGTGCATAAGGCTCCTCTCATTACTGTTCACCACAGGTGAACACATTTGGCATTTAATTTTTATTACTATTACTATCTCTCTAAGGCATGGTTTATTAAAAAAAAAAACTATAAATATTTTACCA